CTAACCAGCGCTACTGCTGTAGCCTAGATCCGATCAGAAACGCTTTCAATTTCTAGCATCATTTACGAACGAAGTGTGCTTTAAAAGCCGCAGCGGGCTTCTTATGTGTGCTTCTCAATAGCCCTTAATCATGGCCTGGCTTTATATCGCACTTAATAAAATCAGCGTTTGTAACGAGAAAATTTGCAGCGATACTGCTTTGCAAGAGACCTTGTAATATACATCATCCGAGATGCATAATAGTAAAGTGCATGTACATTGTTTCCACCGTACCTGCCCCCTTTTGCTCGTTGGTTACCCTGACGATCTTTGAAGTAAACACACAAAACATGTACACAAAAACAATATAGTAACGAACAACAAACATCATGAAAGGTATGCCCAATTTCCTTCTCCCATTTGTTGATTACATTCACTCTAGCCAAAATACAGCCTTGCATTGTTGCAAAAATTGGTTGCTTCGAATCAACACCGAGAAACGCGCCTTTGAAAAGTAGCACATGGCTAGGAAATTGAAAGCATCATCAGTGGCTTCTTCAAGTCGATACATAAGTGCCTGCCGCTGCCCTGTATATACGAACTCATATAGCAACCTGTAACAACATCAATAACAACAACATTTGGCATGAACCAGGCAAACATGGGACGGTAAAGTGCGTAAAATATTGCAGCCACAATTGTACTCGGAACAATAATGAAGCAAATTGAGAGTTACGCCTGCACTCGGCTTATAATTGCACTGGTCCAAATTCGCTACAAAATAAAGCAAGCTACTGTTATCATTAGAACTGTTATGTAGTAGCACAAATTTGGAGCATGCTCACTGTGTACTGGCATGATATGTTTCTCGTATATAAGTATGTACGTAAATATGATTCATATATGTAGCATACCACACCATACCCCCAAATGTTACAATCGCGAAGTTTTAACCCAAGACGTTTTTGTTCGCTATCGATAAAAACATGTTACGAGGCTTGAGGTGCATTGGAAAGCGAGGCTCAATTTCTTGAGAAGTAGCACAAACTAACTGGGGAGTAAACTAGACGTGCTACCGGATTTTCCTTCATGCACTGACAGTGTGGATTCTCCATGGTTATCATATAGCTGTTGTTTAATATGTAACTAGTAATATTCTCATATGCCAGGGCCATATGTTCAGGGTAATATGTTGAACGGAAATAGTCTCTATTCCGGCAGCCGAAACACACTTTTGATTTAAGTTGCTATCAACAATATTGCAGAAACACAGCAACATGCTGAGATGTCAGTTTTCTATACAGTGGTAGAAAGTGAATCTGTTGCTGTGAAATAGGAAACTACAACAAATTCGGTTTTTGTAACGTATGGGGAAATGGATGTAATGTCGGCCTAAATGCCCCTAATTTGGGCCCATACAAAAATTCAGCAATCGACTAAATTGTCAATGGCGACCAAAAATATCCATTAGTACCGTCCCAATGACGCGTTAATCTAGATAAAATTGATAAATAGCAGATTTTTAGCGATGGGCCCAACCTTAGATCCATAGGCCAACATTAGAGCCATTTCCCCTAGCAGATGCATTTAAATACTGAATCTGGATGCTAATCAAGAACTTGAAAAAAGCAGGGTAAGGAAATGGCTCTAAGATTGGGCCCATCGCTAAAAATCTGCTATTTATCAATTTTCTCTAGATGAATGCGTCATTGGGACGGTACTAATGGATATTTTTGGTCGCCATAGAAAATTTAGTCGATGGCTGAATTTATTTATGGACCCAAATAAGGGGGATTTAAGCCGACATTACATCCATTTTCCATCCATTAGTACTTAATTTATTCTTCTTTTTTTTTGTGTGTGGTTTGCTTGTACACAGGATCTATGAGCTTAGAAGAATTCTTATAAATTTAGGAGCTCTGAGACTGACATATACGAGCGTCAATTTTGACAAAAAATTAATCATAGCAAACGCGAAATTCAGCTCATTCAAACGTACTTTTCGTAGAGCAACAAAGTTTACAGTCTAGGAGCACTTAATTTTACATGACATGTTTGTTTACGTCTCATCCTTTATGTCAAAGATGGATTCCGTCACGAGTAAAATATGTTGTTTTTCTAAGAGTGTATACAGTCTAACAATACTTAGAACCATATTCTTCTTCTTTGCATTTCAAACTTATTGCTTTTCGAATATTAGCTTATTGCGTGCTCTCAACAGTTATTAATTGAGAGCTTTCGATACCATTAGTATGTGGCAAGTAAAATCATACTCTATGCCCAGGGAAGTTGAGAAATTTTCCAACTCGAAACATTCCTAGACCGGACCAGGAATCAAACCCAGCCATCTCCAGAATGGTCATGGTTTGTAGCTGTGCCTTTACTGACTGACCTAAGGGAGGCCCCGAACTTAGAATCAATATGTACTCAAATATTTTAACATGCAGTGTTCGTAAGAGTACATCGATTCGCTTCCCAAGTAATCAGAAAGCCGATATTTGTGTTTTTGCAATATAAGGCTAATAATTTAAGTGGCGCCGGTGGTTTAGTGGTAAGTGTGATTGCCTCTCACCCCAAAAGGCCTGGGTTCAATCCAAATTGCACAGTCTGAGGCACAAAATCTGTGATCACGTCTTCTTTCGGAAGGGAAGTAAAACCGTTGGTCCCCGGTCTATTAGTTGATGGTTCGGGTCCAGGTGTGGAAGCTGCCTCCCTGGCGTCGATAGTATTGGTACTCAGTATGGAAAACAAGATAGGCGGAAAATAAATCAAAGAAAAAAAAAGGCTTATCATTTAAAACATGTCTGGGCAGATTAATAGAGTCTAAGCGCATCAAAAAGATTCACTTCCACGTATATAAGATTTTGCAGGTTCTCCAAACTGTCTTCGACTTCAGACCAAATCATTCACAGCGGCGCCGGTGGTGTAGTGGAAAGCGTGAAAATATTTAAAGTTCGATGCGGTGCGATGAAAAAGTAATATTTTAGGTAAAATATGACGTATGCTCAATCTGGGTTCTAATCCTTAATTGACTCTTCCGTAGACATCATTACATTTGAATAGTGTGGATGATTGTAAGTTGTTGTGATATAGGGAGCTCGGTGTCCTAGTAGCAACATTTTTCCTTACTGAGTAGAATATCGTGGGCTCAATCCCACTCTCCTACTTATTATAGTAAAATACGTAAAAAATTGCTACAGATAGAACTCGGTCGGAATGGTGCGACAAAAAGTGGTATTCATGGTAAAATATGACGCATTCTCGATTCGTTTTCGAAAGCATAGTTGACGCCTTCTGATGATTTCATTATATTGGAATAGCTCCATGTCACAGGGCTTAAATGATCGTGAGTCTTAGTAGTGTGTTTTGATGGGATCGGTGGCCTAGTGACAACCGTTTTTGCAGAAGATTGTGAGTTCTATCCCAAGCCTCTTTAAACAAATAAAATATGGGCGGATCATTTGCTTATGAGATTTTAAGAGATGATATTACTTTCCAAAGGGAATCCAGATCGGATTTACTCTCCCCCACTATCCAACACTTCCTTCCTGTGACAGGCAAGCCGTGGTGATTCAGTGATCTCTAGTATCAACGAAACTAACTATGACGACCCCTGGACGTTATTGAACATTTTTTTCCGTCGATTGTTTTCCGTGCTGGGTACCAATGCTACCGACGCCAGGAAAGCAGCTCCCACACGTGGACCCTACCTATCGACCCAACTCATGAACCAGGGAACACCGGCTTTACTTCCCTTGGCGTGATCAGAGATGTCATGCCTCAGAACATCCCGGCGGCGCTGACTGGGATTGAACCCAGGCCTACTGGGGTGAGAGGCAATCACGCTTACCACTACACCACCGGCGCCGCTAGTTCGATTGATAATAACACATATTTTTTTGAATTTTACTTTTGTTTTTACGCTCAAACAAACTTTCGCCTGTTATTAACTCAACTTAGTGTGAGCACTTCCACAGTTATTGAGTGCTTTCTGTGTCAACTATGTGTATTGTGTTGCAAGCCCAATTTTACTATATGCCTATATGCCTGAAATCGAGAAAATTTCCAACCCGAAAGATTTCCTCGACCGGACCGTTGGTAATACCGTGGCCTTAACCGACTAGAATATCTGAGACCCACATAAGGCAATCAATTAATGTTTTATTTTTGATTTGTTTTGAAATTATGTTTTGCATTTTCATCATGATTTAACATATTAGACAATCTTAAGTGAACTTTGATGAGAATGTAAAACTTAGGTTTACCTGAATGTATTGTGGATGGAAACGTGTGGGTTTGAATTATTTTGAAGTGAAAGTCCGGTTAAATTTACATTTGCCAGTAAATGTTGCTGCGAAACTCGAGTTTTTATCAAGTTGGAAAGCCCAAGAGGAATAACGGAATATAGTGCTCTATCAATAAACCCTTATACAATTCAAAACTTTGACATGCTTTGTATACAGTGAAATCCTAAATGTATCAACAAGAAATCTTTTATTTTTTATTTAAACATTTGCTCTCCATTCATCACCAGACAAAGCACACCAGTGATCTCTGTCATTTTAAATTCGCATCCGCATTCGCTTTTGCATTAGCAATAAACTGATACCATGCTTACACAACATAGTTGATTTTGTTTTCGATCTTCCAAATTTCAACATCCGCCCAGCAGCGGTCCGTTTTGATAAACTTAACCCCTCTACTTGCGTCTTCCCTTACAGAAGGGGGGTTGATGGCAAAGCCAGTAGTATGTATCGGTAGTAAATTGCAGCTCAGCAGCGTTCGACAACAACGGAGCAAGAAAACATGTTGAACAAAAAAGGGAGAGAGAGAGTCATCCACTTTCGAACGCGCAAAGTTGCGCAATTTCACCACGCACCATGAACCGTTTCTGTTCGCATATAGATGTACATATCTAAAATTTACAGTTGTCGTCATCCACTATCAATATGTGCAACAACCACGGCAAGTGATCACAAAAATGTTATCGAAGAAAGTTTAATCGACCGTCTATTACTCACTTGTTTCAAATTGGTGATTCCGTGTAGATATTATTCATCATCGACCTTCTTTGTTCGGTATGATCCACATCGAATTACGCTTTGCGAATTTGTAGAATTGGATCGTCGTCTGATCCTTGCTTCGAGACGTTATTTCCGGTTCCGAGATCTACTGAACTGATTGCGGATTTAAAGCCCCATTCACAAGATTCAATAAAACTTTCCAATTTTTGGCACTTTTCTACGTTTTTTTTGTCGGCTGCAATTTTCACTTGCAGATCATAAAGCACACATCAAAGCGATATTTTTATATTTCTTTATTTGAAGATGATATTTCTCTTTCGGTTGCTTATCGCCAACTTTTCTTTTATCGCAGGTTTATCACTTATTCATTCGTTTTTGTTTCACTTTTACAAACACACCAGGCTTCCGAAAATCGTTGGAGATTCCATATAAAAAACCCGCTCTGTAATTACTCTGATCTCACCACTTTTGTAGCTAAGCAACGTTTATTTTGAATCACCACTGACTGCACTGTAAATTTCACTGGTTTTCTTTGGTATAATGTAAGTTTGCTAAAATAACACCACTTTTAAAAGTTTCTTCACGTCGTCGCTCAACAAAACAAGAGCACTTATCGAAAACAAACCGAAACGAGTACCATCAAATTTTGCACTGATGATGCAGAAAAAAGTGACTACAGAAGCTCGAATCAGGAAAACTAAAATCGTAAACTTTTGCGAGAGCAAGGTACCACTAGCAACACCCGATCAATACGGCTGTCGGTGATGTTCTGCACTGCACACCACGGCGGTTGACTCGTGTCTGGGGTCCGCCGGAGTTGTGGAGCTACTCTTTGCTCGCTCATTTTTTTCGTATTTTTTTCGCTCTCACTATGGTGACGTAGAAAATCCGAGACACGCAAGACGCTTTGGCAAGGTGGTTAAGCTTCCCATCCACCAGCACCATGTGTCGGTCAGGGCTGCCAAAAGGTTGTTGAGGCTATTAGTGGTATACATTGGGATGATTAATTAGAATGGAAGACGAAGAAAAGAAGCAAATCAATGCAATAATCGATTAAGTAATAAAAAGAGAATTTATACAAGCGTTTCATTCCATGAACATTTGGCTTAAAATTGGGAAATATTGGCAGCACAATTTCAACATCTTAAATGTTGTGCATCATCAACTTCTTTACAAATTAATTACAAAATGTTTCTGCTACGTTGCTCAAACCAGGTCTCACAAAAAAATTAAGATTTCAGCACAATTAAAAAAATGATGTCCAGTTCTATGTTGTTCTATATTGCGAACACTCGTGGCAAAAATCTGATTCACGGTTCAGTCGAGGTTTCACTGTATTTGGAAGCTGTTTATAAACTACTATGACAGTTTAAGGAGGTTGGCAAGTGTCTGCGATCCGTGCATCCATTATAATCTCCACAGAACTGTCTATGTTGTTTATAGGTTAACCTTCATCGGATAATTTATTGTTTTACTCCTACACAACTAAACCAATGTATATTCAAAATAAAATTTAGCCGCTGGCGGTGGTGTAGTAAGCGTGCCTGCTTTCTCACCCCAATGGATCTGGGTTCAATCCCAGCCGAGATCGGTGGGATTTTTCTGAGGCATAAGTACATAACTCTGGATGGGAACATACCATCAATTACTGTCATTGGTCGAAAGGTACAGTAGCAGCACCTACCCTACCCTACCCGTGTCCATCGAGATCGTCAAGTCGACGATGACAGGAGCACATACCGTGGTAGAGGTAACAATAGCTACAATTTCCAAACCTACGACTGGATGCCTTCCTTCAGATAACAGCGGTGCGGTAAAAATCGATAGAACTGTTTCAAACACATCGTCGGTACATGAGCAAGTCGGCGATCATCTCTTTTTGCCAGTGGTGGCGGGGGAATTATTTAAAATTATGTTATTCCTTTTTCTTAATGATGGCCACATGGCCTGCTCCCCACAGCTGTGCAAAATTTGATCGATGGTTAAGATCTGGATTTTCGGGAGAGCTCTAAAGATTGTATGGGAAAATGTATGGAGAATATAGTACCTGTTCAGATACCTGTCAAAGATTCAAAATAAGCTCAATGTTGATCAAACCTCGGATACAGTACTAAGCGAAACAATTGAAGTCATCAGGATATTTTTTATGATTTCAGCTTGATCTGGTATTATTCTGGAGATCTTCAACTTCCCATCAATTAAAATCACATTTTCCAGTTATTCTCTCAAACGTCAGGTTGCTCAGAAATGATTCCAAATACATGATCATACTCCTCAGGATATGTGTTCGAGACTTCAGCTTGATCAGGTTTCATTCTGAAGATCTTCAACTGCACGAGGGTTTAAATCACAACTCTCAGATATTCTCTCATCGTACCAGGTTGGTCAGAAATTATTTAAAAGACCTTCAGGTAATCATAGATCCCAATAAAAATTCAAGATATCTGTGAAAGACTTCTGCGTGATCATAGATTATAGATCTCCAAAAAGTCTTCAAGATAGTTATCATTTTGCTCAGTAATCATTCTGAAGGTCTGCAAATGACCAACTATTAAAATCGCATCTCTCAGATATTCTCTCGAATACTAGATTTCTCAAAAATGATTCCAGATGATCATTGATCTCCCAAAAGCTATTTACTCAAGACTTCAGTTTGATCAGGTATCATTCACAACAATTAAAATCATATCTCTCAGATATCCTCTCAAGATTTGGTATTGCTCACAAATTATACGAAAGGCCTTCAAGTAATCAGAGATCTCCAAAAAAAAAATCTCACGATATTTGTTTTAGACTTCAGCTTGATCAGGTATCATTCTGGAGATCTTCAACTGCCCAACATTTCAAATCACATCTCCCAGCTATTATTTCAAATAGCCAATTGCTCAGAAATTAATCCAAAGATCTCCAGGTGAGCATAGATCTCCAAAAAGTCTTCAAAATATGTGTTCAAGACTTTAGCTTGATCAGGTATCATTCTGAAGATCTTAAACTGCTCATCAATTCAAATCGTATATCCCAGATATCCTCTCAAGATACCAGGGTGCTCAGAAATTATTCAAAATACCTCCAGGTTATACAAAGTCGCTGCCCAACAATTCAAATCATTTTCCCATGCAATTTTCAAGAAACCAGGTTGCTCTTAAATTATTTAAAAGACCTCCAAATGATCATACATCTCAAAATATCCAAAAGAAATTTATTTTAGACTTCAGCTTGCTCAGAAACAATCCAAAGATCTCCAAGTGATCAGAGATCTTCAAAAAGTCTTCAAATTATGTGTTCAAGACTTCAACTTGAACAGGTATCATTTTGAACATCTTAAACTGCCCAAAAATTCAAATCACATCTCCAAGATAATCTTAAAGATTCAAGTTTGTTCAGAAATTATTTTAAATAACACCGTGTGATAAGAGATCATTTGAATAGCACAGGATGATTTTTTAAGATTTTAGATTGACCAGGTATCCAAGTATTCCATAATCCATATCGCATCTCTCAGATTTTCTTTCGTATGAAACACGGCAGCTAAGAAATTATTCCAAAGTCCTTCATGTGTTTTTAGATCTCCATAAAGTCGTCTGAGTTTTTGTTAAAGACTTCCGGCTGATCAGTTATATTGTTCTGAAGATCTCAAACTGATCATCAATTCAAATCACATCTCTCGGATATTATGATGATGCAAGGGGCTCCGAAAATAGTCGAAATACCACTAGGTGATCGGAGATCTGGTCGATATAGTTTTGTTCTGAAAACCTTCAACTATGCAACAATTCAAATAAAATCTTCAACTACGTTACCTGGTATAGTCCTTCATAGCTAAGGATAGTATGGTATGGTCACCTCAGGATGCATTCGTCATCTTACCTTCATATATCACTTTGTTTATCTCCACCAAGAACAAATTGGCTTAAAATGGTTAAAATGCAATGCAATGGTTGTTGCATTTGCCCTATGCTTTTCGTTTTTACTTACTCAAATCCAATACTACATAAAAATATGTAATCGAGCCGTTTTCTCCGGATAATCGAACCCTCGGATAATTGAAACCCCGGGCAATCGCGTTCGACCATTACCAACATATTTTTCTATGATTTATTTTTGAAATAAATTGCACGTCAAAAATGGGCGATATGGTCCGCAAAATAGTTTTCCGCATGCTAAACTTTTGTAGCTTCCATTTAACTCCTCTTAATTAATTTTTGCATCCATGACAGACAGTATTTCGACTACGATATTCAAAACAGCTTAAGTGTTTTCGAACGAAAGTGTACCAAAAGTGCTTCTGAACGTGTTTCGTAGTCGGGGTGGTGAAATTCGTGCATTCCCGGTTGATTTTGGAAATCCGTATCACAAAATTGCCCACCGATTCCTTTTTTTTGCCGTTCGACGACGACGGGTGTGCTTTCGCGAGAGTGACGTTTATTTGATCCGTTTCTTTGCACGGGTGAGTTTTTTTTTTGTTACTAGCGTAAGTGTGCCTGCGATTTGCATTGAGTGTCGGAGATTGTAATCTGAAGGATGCCTCCCTGGATACGCCCAAGACTGGACGGGCAGTAGCTGGTGGCCGTGAACGGTTCCTGGGGAAAGCACTAGATGCGACCCTCCTCCCAGATGACCATGGCAATACAGGAAGTATTGGTATTGGAAGGTAATTGCTATTAGATATTTTGCAAACAGTGACAGATAGCGGACATGAAGAACCAGTGGAGGTGCCGGGCAAAGGTGTTTATCCTAGACAAATGGTAAGTTACAAATTCGCTGTTGTCGTTGTCGTAGGCGACGTCGTAGTCACTGTCGTAATCGCTGTCGTAATCGCCGTCGTAGTCGTAGGCAGTACCGTTAGTATATTTAAAATTAACCACCAACCGCTGAAAATATGAATTATCGCGTATTTCTGCTGTTCATTACATGCCAAGCAAAATTCGAGAACGTAATTTTATTTGAATAGCTTGTTTAATCAAGTCTTAAACAATTGTCACGTCGGTCATAGCTTGTTATTATTACCTGAACCATGCGTAAAGAGAAAATCGAAACATTTAACGTCGCGTGAAAATGGAGCTTAATGAAGGCCTCTTTCATAGCTTTTAGTTTAAGGATTTCAAAGATCGTCGGTTGCAGTGGCTTGGTTACTGAGCAGAAAAACGCGGTCCCAGATCCTTTCATATTAAAAATGTAGATCGCTTGTTTATCGTGTATTTCGTAAAACTTTTCGTTGTCGTCGGTGCCGGGTCTGAATAGTCATAAAAACTTGAGTAACGCTATAATGTGATATGAGGGGCTCGGTGGCCTTAGAGCAACCGTTTTTGCTTACTGAGTAGAACATCATGAGTCTAATCTCAGGCCCATGCACATTCAAGATTCGTCAATCATTTTATTTGTTAATATTACTACATGGTAATAACAGCACCTCGATGATAAAAAAAAGGAGCTCGTCTGCCTAGTGGCAAACGTTTTTGCTTACTGAGCAGAAGACCGTGGGTTCAATCCCAAGTTCCTTTGCGTTGTATGATTTTTAGGACATCAATTCAGCTTATCGTTTACCAAAACGAACCCTGCTGCAAACCCAACCCTATTACCCAATATCCCAGTGATTCCTCGTGGAAGTGCAGAGGTGTTCTCGGCTTCCATCAAAGCGAGTGTCACGTCAACACATTCCTACCCCTTCCTTTCTTGACCTGTGTTCGGGCGCGGCCGGCGCTGGTATTGCCTAGTTTGAGATCACCAGTTTTTACACATTGAGGATGATTGCTAGTCCCAAGCATCGTCTATTGGTTCTCTGTGTAATTACAGCTGGTCTGGCAATAACAGAGTAGCAACCGTGGGCGGTCAATCATGCTCATGCTCATGCTACGATATTCGAAACAGCTTAAGGTCGAACACATGATC